CTAGTAGCGTCCTTGCTCCTAGTAGTAAGGCCAGGAGCCCCTAGTTGCTTCTTGTTACTAGTAGCGTCCTTGCTCCTAGTAGCGATGCCAGGAGCCCCTAGTAGCGTCCTTGCTCCTAGTAGTAAGGCCAGGAGCCCGTAGTTGCTTCTTGTTACTAGTAGCGTCCTTGCTCCTAGTAGTAAGGCCAGGAGCCCCTAGTTGCTTCTTGTTACTAGTATTGAGGTTAGGTGGCTCTCCCAATAGCTGAAAGCATCCACCGCCTGGCCCCTGCCATACTGAGCACTGGGTGTTCCCGGCCGTGCTTCGGCGAGCGATCGTTCGGGCCACTCGGTGGTTGTAGCCCTGTCAATTCGCAAACCAAGTGACTTCGGTTCAAGCTAAAGCATTGATTTTGCCAAACACGGTACGTTTCAATAGAACCGAAAGAACCCAACAAGTGATCGCAAATCTAACTAAGCTATATGTCACGCAGGCTAGTGTCAGCATTGAGTATCAAAATTGAACTCCACAGTGCAACACTCGCCCGGCCTGCAAATCTCCTCCAGAGTGGAACGCTGTGACATTTGGTTCCGGTGGAAGCATCCCATGAAATCTTGGGGCAACTTTACAAAGAGAAGCATGCCATCAGCTTGGATGTTTTGTTGATGTGTTGATGTTGATGAAGCTGATGCCAGTGATGCTGCAGCTTCTCTATCCTAAATCCACCCCCCGGAGTTGATTGAATTCACGAGATGAAGATGCGCTTCTTCTGGCTCACATTGTGCACAGTGCCTCTCATGACAAAAGCTCAAGGGAAGGCAATCCGATCCCAAGATATCCCAAGCGTTTTCAGGTCCTGCAGCATCTTGCTCCCTGACCATTGGAGAACCTGGACAATGATCTTCGGAGCAGAAAGAACATTTGAGAACTTTCACGACTTCCTCAGTCATATTCTTCTTGTGCAAACCTGAAACAAACCTTCCTTGCCTCGGCCAGCCATGCTGCTGGACTCTGCAAGAGCACATTGGCTCTTCACCAATGAAACCATTGGCTGCGCAGAAGGCTCTTCCAAACTCCTCACTGAACCCGAGAAAGCCCTGAGGGCACTGAGTTAGTTCATAGAGCTCCTCATGGTCGCCCATGTCCTCGCTCAGTGTCACCCTATCACCTGATCTTCCAAACAAACATCGTTCCATTCAGGGAAATGGAGATCTCCCACTACATCTCCCCAATTCCGGGCTGACAAGCCCCGCAAGTGTAACCGGGGGGCAAGGATCCACCTGCGGAATGCCCGACACATCTCAAGGTACACAAAATCAATGCCTATTTTATGACGGCCCGCTGCAATGCAATGAAATGAATTGTAATGATACAAAGCAAAGTAATCACACCAGCTGTCCTTTTTTGCATTAGCAGTCCAACTGTTGGCTTGCCTCTGGCAAAACCTATAAAGCTGGGCTTCATTGCAGCGCCAAACCCCCCCAAAGCCAGCACACCGGACACCCGCTTGTTGAGACGTCACACCAACATATACCAACCGCCTTGAACTAATGTTTCTTGGGCATCCTGGCATCCTGCTCTTTATAACTCATTGTTCATTTTCAACAGCAAGAACTTTGGATCTCCGGGAACGGTTCCTGCCAAAATCTTCAAGCCCTTGAGGCCAGCCCAACGCGGCGAAAACTATCAACATACGTGTATTCAATAGTTCATTATTTTGCAGGATTTCTTAGGGATTTTAGGAAGGCCTCCAAGACCCCTGGAAAAAAGTAGGAAGATCGACAACAAACCCATTGTCCCATAGTGGGCCACGTCAGCCGCGCCCATGGCGCCACTAAATCTCCCAGATCACATCATACAACATCAAACGTCCTACGGAGCTTGTGCTTGGTCAGGTCCAGAGCGCATACTGCAAGTGGAACGAATTTCGCCGGCTCGAACGCCCAAGTCGGTCGACTGGCCGGGTTGGATGCCTAAATAAAACTCCAACTTGCAGCGATTTCTCCCTTGGTTGATCCAGTTGCGGTCGTTGATTCTTCTTTGACAGCATTTGCTTGCCACTCAAATGTTTCTTGCTTTGGTTTCTTGACATGCTTGCCTGCTCTAATGGCAACTGGATCTACAAAGGTTCTAAAAAATTGAGAGCGAACGACCCAAAAAAACATGCTGGCCTAAATGAGGGCAGACGGCTCCAAAAGCAAGACGATGATAAACTCCATATCGTCATCTCTGTTAGCTGCAAAGGAAGATTGGCTTGGCCAAATTCCTCTGAATCATCGCTGATAGCATCAATTGATCAAATGCCGCCAAAGAAAGCGGTGACTGAAACACTCCTCTTTTAGGGCAAGTGTCCACAAGCAAGCCTGTTGCCAATAAATGCCAATAAGCCCCAAATCATGTAACCAAGCAATGCCAAGAAGATCCCCGATGTTGAATTGGCAGGTTCAAGTTCATCCGATGAAGCAATCCCCATAGAATGGGTCTGCACCACCCTACCGGTTCCTTTGAGCCCAGTCAGGCGCATCCTGCCGATGTACCGAAGCGAAGGTTCGCTTCTCAGCAGCAGTTGCTGTACTCCGTGGCACTTCGCCTGCAAACGCCGAGTGGGAGGCATGGAGGTGTTTCGGTGATGCACCCAGGTCCCCCACCACTCAAGTCAGTAAGTGTGCAATGCGCGAGACATCACCAAACTGCCAATCAGCAGAACTGTCCATCGATCTTAACCCCTTAGACTTAAAATGCTTCTCAACTCTTCTGCGCCCCCCAAAACATCCACAAACGGTCGCCTCTTCATACCTGTCAATCTCCTTCTTCCTAATGATTCTCCTTCAAACATATTACAAAAGCATAAACCAAACCATACGCCCTTTCGCACCCCGTTCTGCCCCGAACTCTCTCCGCCAAGCGACATGGCATTGGAGACCAAGTCGCAGCACGTGGCCGCCGACGTCTGAAAACGGTGCCGATCCGACGGGTCGAAACACGGAAGATCCGCCCATGGACACCCGAAAGTGTTGCCGCATGGGGAGCCTTTCGATATACCCCACAATCATATCTGATCCACAGACTTGCAAAATCCTGTAGGATCCAAGAGTTCGGGAAACTAAGACTTGAGCATTGAGGATTCCAAAATGTTGATCTCATTACCCAAGAGGCTCCAGAAACACATTATGAACATATGAGACTTGGTCTGAGGCATGCAGTGCGCTCTTTTCATCTCGTTGCAGGAAACTAGGTGTTAGAGCGAGCCTATACATATTCAATCAAATTAAGATATTGAAAATTCATGATCTTTGGGCCAGCACATGCGCCACACTGTGGCACCGATACCTAAACCGCCTGTTTCAATCTGTCCATCTGTGTACCTCTTCTGGACTACCACAGGTGATTTAACTTGCCACGAAGCAGTCAAACCTTGGGTCCACTATGCCAATTTCTCAGGAACGGTTCAAGTGCTACCAGAAAGTGTCTGGAAGCGTCGGGACGACCTGGAAGAAACAATGAATACCTTCAAGAACACCTTCTGGTGGTCAAAATCCCACTGCTGCTTGCGGAACTGAGCCATAAAAATGGGACCATGTGAAACTCAAACAACTCTCAGTTGAAACATGTCTTTCCCGCCTCCCCTTCCCCAGAGGACTGGAAGATGTCATGGAAGAGCTCCGCGGTCATCTGCCTGCGGTAAATGATGGGTCCACTTTCCGCCGTGACGCACGTGTAGAAAATTGTGCACCATGCCGGAGCATGCCCCGACTGTGCCGACCGACAGAACATCTCCTTTAGACCATTTGTATGCAAGCCCCCTGAGAGGTGCAAACAAACATATCTAGCCATCTACTGGAATTATGGCTGACCACTTACCACAACAAAAGCGTTGATGCAATGTATGTTCTTACATTATTACAAGAATAACACCAAACATGCCAAACCAATGAAGTGACAGGCGCACAGGCGCGCGCACCGCTCCTCCCGCTCACGAAAATACTCATGAGGTGGACTGCACTGGGCCTTGACGCCAAAGAGTCGGAAAACGGCGGGAAAGGGTCGACGGTCGACTGGAGTGGATCAAAAGGTGGCTTCATGCCAGAAAGTCAACATACGAATATTCTCTCCACTCCAAAAACCGGAATGACTCAGCTACCCAGCCACTTGGCTTCCAATGGTGGGCGGACACTCCTGCAGCCGATCTTGCCGGCGGCTTTGTGCCCATTGGAGAGGCTGGTGCCGCTTCGGGGTGGGTAACATGTAGTAAGAAAAAAAGCAATGGCCTCCAACCTAAGAGCGATGGCGTCTCCAACCTAAGAGCGATGGCGTCTCCAACCTAAGAGCGATGGC